TTATAACATTAAAAACACAAAGTGTTATGAAATGCAGATTTGATATATATGAAATGAATCTTTGAAAAAGTTTGTTTTACAGCTCTTGTCTTGAAAGATTTGTATAGGTAATAGCATGATTTGTAGTGATATTTGTCATGAATACCACGAGTGATATTTCGAAATTGTTATACGTAATTTCACGAGCCGTTAGGCGAGTGAAATTTGAGAGAATTTTGAAATATCACGAGTGGTATTTATACCAAATATCACGTACAAATCATGCTATTATTTGTTTATACTACTACCCGCAAAAGTTTTGTAATTTTCACGTGAAGGTATTTCAAATTAAGCTGAAATACCACTGCTCTGAGCCAATCAAATTGCAGAAATTTCTCATGTAGTAATATAATAATCAGTAATCTTCTTGCGTTGCATACACCATCATAGTACATGGTTCAGAAGGGCGAATATGTATCACGGAGGTTTTGGGCTGAGACCCCAGTTAGGTACAAAATTTTACTCACAATTTTGATGCCTTTGTGAAGTCCATCAAAAATCTTCACTTCCCTGAGACAGACTTTAAAACTGTCTTTGGTCAGGTCCTCTACCCACACTGCCATGGCGTCTTGAGGTCTCCCTGGAAACTGATGACTGGGAGTCGCAAGTACGATTGGAGGAGTCAAAAAACGCTAAATTAAGCAAAGAAAAAGGTTTAGACGCACAAGCGAAGCGCTGTAGTCTAATATTTTAAGCAAACTATGGAAGGACAAACAAACAGAAATAACTGAGAAGCAGTGGTCCGGAGAGGGAAAAGAGACTTTAAATTTACTGCATTAAACCTACTCTTGTGATACTCTTAATACATATAGTTTGAATGACCTACTTTGTTCAACTCGTTCAAATCCAAAAAGAGATAAATTATGTAACCAAGCTCGTGTACTAATATCATAAGAAACACTTCTACATTTGCACCCTGAATCATCTTTCTTTTGTTTTGTTTCAGATTTGGTAATAATGTTCTTATCATTCGATCACCAAGTTTGTTTTTAATGAACATCTTCGGGAAGAGAAGTGATCTGCCTTTTTTCACCCAGGAGTGATCGTAAGAAAGAGAAAAGCGTGGTTTCCTTTACGCGTGAGCAGAATATTATTTGCAGCCAAACACAGTTGTGCGACATTTCGCATTAGCAGACCATTATTTGTAGGCACTTACTTGCAGGTCAAGTGGTGGGCTTTCGGCCAGTGAAAAGGAGGAAAACATGGCATCGCATGATAAATTATTTTTAACCTCTGTCGAATGAAAAAAGAATCGAGAAGGAGAATCTTAAATTTGTGATTTCGGATTCTTATGGTCCTTATTTTCAACCACCGCGACGCTTGAAACATTTCCTATATTATGTGAGCGAGCCTATTGACGTGGCTAAATCATTGATAGAGGACATTTGGATGGCTAGCGTGATATACTGAAAGTTATGAGATGTTATTTGACGATTTGAAAGGTTCTAGAAGATTCTAAAGATTAGGAATTTGGGGAAGTAACATGCATCAGGAGAGGATAATATACCTGTGTTATATTAACCCCAGGCGACAGATAAACGATGCAGATTATGCATTTCCTGATCCCTTTAATTAGACTTCCAGCAGCGAATGCTGGAAGGATGGATCTTTCCACAGATACCAAAGGTGAAATTGGACTGGGTTCATCTTTGTTATGCTGCATTCTGTTTTAAGTCTACAAGCTTCTATTCCCTTCTTCTAAACGATTCTTTAGCCATGAATGGCTCTTGCTGCTTATTTCGGGAGACGGCAGAAAACGAGCCGAATCACGTCTGTGCGGATAGGTGTTTAGCTCAGATCGGAATCTTTAGCTTGATGCGCGTGTAGGAACGAACGTGAGACTACAGAGCCAATATTATATTCAGGCTAATCCGGTATGATTATTTGATCCAAATCAGGGCTCTAGTAATCTGTCATAATCCAGGTGAACCTACAAAGTTAGCCCAAGGGAAAAATGTGTAAGAAAAGAAAGCGTATAAAGCCTTTCAGGAAATAAATTTTAATGGCTAATAATTTTTTCCAATGAATGCATTCCTCGACGTTCAAACTAAAGAAAATAAGGCTTGACAATAATATCATTTTATCAATGTCATCTTTCAGGAACTTATGTTGTTGAACTTGTGTTGTAAAGCTAAAAAGAGAAACAAATCTAAATCGGTTTGAGTGATCTTAGGTCAACATTTGATCTGTTTACGGACTTGAACAGCTATGTAAATTGTGTTACCTCAAAGGTGGATGAAGTAACTGCCTTGCAAGGATTAGGAATTACCTCTATACAAAAACATTTAAGACCTTGCATAATACGCTTCTCCAGCGTCTGTATTATTATTTTGATACTACAGTCGTATTAACCAAAAAGTTAGGGAGTACGCGCGAGATCGAAGCAAACGCCTTCGCTTCTACGCTGCGCTTTTCGTAAGTTTCACGTGAGAGAAGGTAAAAACGCATGTGATCAGATTACGAGTGATAGAAGGCCCAAACACACATGATCAGATTGCATTCTCATGCATTCCATTCATTATAAGTGAGAGTTCAAAAGAATGTTGCCATGGGTCATACATGCTGCGCATGTCTCAAAACAACTTGAAGATTATGCCGATTGCGGGCGACCACATTTCGGGCCCCTCCGGTCACCTGCAATTATTTGGTTTGATTCCAACCAGGAGCCTATTCCAACAAAATCACTGTCTCCCTTTTGAAGAAGATCGAAAACGCGCACAGAGAGATTAATAGCCCAAGTTCTAACGGATGGCGCCTTTCGTCTGTAATGATTAAATGGCTTTTGCCCCTCTTATCTTAACAACATATCCGTACTATCTTTAGAATGTTATGGTTACTTGTTATTCATTCTTCTACCTTTTAAATTTTAGTTTATATTTACGTAGCATGATTAGTGCTCAACTTTGGTAAGTAAAGTTCAGTCATTCGTTTAATCAATCAATTAATCAATTATCATTTCCTTCCCTCCTTCCTTCCTAAATCCTTTTCACATCGTTCGGGACATACCGATTTTTCAATATAAGTGAAATACCACGCATGTTCGAGAACGTGTGTCAATTCCGCCACTTAGAACGTAACTGAACTGATTTTTGCCGAAACAACAATGCGGCATCTCAGTCTTCAAAGTTTATTCAGAAAAGAACAAAAAATATCTGCCAACAACCGAAGACTGAGAGAATTATTTCCTGCACAGGTACCTTGTATATTTTTCCTTTTCCTTTCCTTTCTTTTTATTTATTTCTTATTTGTTTGTTTATTTCCTTATGCTGATATGACTTTTGTTTGCTTGTCTTCATACATGTTCGCGTGCTAAAATATTTATTTACTAGTTAGTGCATGATATATATTTTTTTAAGAATGAGATCAGGTATAAACATTCAGTCATTCATTCATCCATCCATTCCTTGATCCTTCCTTCCTTTGTTTATTCTGGCATTCATTCAATGGATGAGCGATTGGATTCGGTGAGGCACCTCTTGCAATGGAACTTCAACACGAATGACAAAATAGTCATACCTAGCATGCAGGTGAATATGTGTTAGTTAGTGGGACTGCCAGTCCAAAATGCAAGAGATCGAAAAAGGAAATCAGGCTCCCAACTATGCAAAAAACCTTTTTTTCAGAACGAACAACGTTCTCGACCGTTCAGTCCAGTCCATGAGGTAAATTACTTGCTATTTCACTTTTATGCTCGTACAGTGTGTTGCGCAACTAACCTGGGGAAAGTAGATCTTCTTACATTCTGTTCCAGTAGTCCAAGAGTCCAAGGAAGTGGTTCCTATTTGTGCTCCAGAAGGAGCAGATTGTAGGGCAATCCAGTTTATCTCGATGGCATTTGAGCCATCGCTGTACTCGTAGATGCAAGCGCTGAATTGACTTTTATCTTCTGATTCCACCCACAAGGCAGCACCAGTACTTGAGTTGCTAGCCGAAGCAAACACTTTTACTTGCTTTCCACTGGGAAATGGCTCTGCAAACGTGATTTTTTCACAAGCAAACAACCCTGCGCCATTCAGGGCAGTGATATTATCGATTTTTCCAGATTTGAAACCGACTGCTGTAAGAGAAAACATTTATAAACTAACGTTAACTCTGAACCATGACATTGGGGGATTCATTGTATGATCAAACGCATTGAGCGTAAGGTCCCTTGAAGTACTTGGAATAAGATTTTCTTATGCGCCCCACCCCAATCTTTGCCTTCCGTCCTTGAAATGAAACGTTTAGTTTCCCGCAAGAGATTGCCAAGAATTATGGGCACTGATATTTATATCCGTAAACAGCATTTATATAAACACAAGATATTTTCACTACCTTGACTTCCTTGTGAAAAAAGGACAACTAGCGTTAAAATCACAATGGCATACAGGACATTGAGCTGGAGATGTCGCCCCTCCACCATCTTGCTTTAACTGAAGAAATACTTCGTCTCTTGTAAATGATATTTGTATTGTGTTCACTTTGAGAAATCATTTCTGTTGCTTTGACAGTTAATTAAATGGGCAGTGAAGCACTAAATACCCTAAAATGGACATAAGCTATCATTGTCCTAAAAAGGTCGCGGATCTAGGGGGGCGAACATTTGTTGGAGAATTGTCTCAGTCAAGAAAATCATTTTCGTATCACACTGCAGGAAAGTGTTTCTAAAATATAAGAACAATAGAATTACATGTATGTACGGTGTACACCCATAGGCTCCTTTTGTTTCGTTTTTAACCCCCCTTACACTTCTTTGCCCCCATGAGAGCAGACGTGCACATCCGGACGTTTTCTGCGTAGATTGTTTCTGACCCGCGTTCTCTTTTTTGTCGCTGATAACAAATGTAGGCATCGATTTCCTCTCGATTGTCGCATGTTACTCTTTTTATCGTTGACCTATTATGTCGCTTAGAATTATGTTCCCAGTCCGAGTGCGACGACAAAAAAAGTCTTCCACTGCATCACAATAGATTTCAGGCCAAAAAGATTATAGAGCATATAAGGATTTTCTATACCTTTTTCATTCCTTTACAAACAGCTTTTCCAACTATTTTGAATCATTGAAACCTTTTGTCGAGGTTTTCTTTGTTCGCCCGACTTGTCAAGATAAGAGTTCTCCTTCTTTAAGTATTGACAGTATTGCAGCCTCCAAGACTGTCGACTGTTTTTTTTTTTTCCTTTTTCAAATTGCGAATAAAAGGACCTTGATTAATACGGTTTCCTAGAAGAATGGCAAAAGTAATGAATTCAGCATAGCATCCTGTAAGTCTCTTTGTGGATTTACATTTTCATTGTTGTTGTTGTTGCTATGGAGAATCAGCTTGGATCTACACATTTATTGTGACTACAATCATCGTCAAAAGTGTTGGGAAGGTTGCCTTTTTTACCTCTTCTTTTCCTTCCTCCCCCCACCCCTGGCCCAATGTTAATCAAAACGTTAATGTTTGTCCGCGTAATTGTTCTGTTATATCCCAACATTGAACAGGGGGGACGGGGGATATTTAGCAAAAGAGAAAACTCTCTTTTTTCAGGATTAAAATGGACTACTGTTAAGTTGTACAGCCTTCCCAACTACTTTTGTCTT